TCCCTCTCCCTCTCCCTCTCTCTCTCTCTCTCTCTCTCTCTTTCTTTCTCTCTCTCTGTCTATCTCTATCTACCTCTATTCTTCTGTGTCCATCTGTCTCTGTCTCTGTCGGTCCGCCTGTCTGTCTGTCTTTCTGTCTGTCTGTCTGTCTGTCTGTCTGTCTTTCTCTCTTTCTTCCTCTTTACTTTACTGATACAGATACACGTTCACAGTCCGGCAAAACACAACACATTCTAAGTTATCTAATTTGTATCACTTTGAGCAAAAAACGTCAGCCTTGAACGTTGATATTGATGGAGACGCCAGATATTCATTCATGAGCATGTGGTTCTATTTTAGCGTCTATGTCTTCTGTCCTCCGGTTTCTTTGTCCGTTTATGTGTACGAAGCCTGTATCTTTCCTTCGTTTACAAGAACAAACTAAAACCTCGAAGTAACTAAATTTTCCGTCGATCTTCGTTCAGGGCATCCAACTGGACGTTCTGGACGAAGACGAGACCGAGCCCCTGGTGGGAGAAGACGTGAAGGTCAAGGTCAAGGTCAGCAACACGTCCGGGGAGGAGCGGAGCGTGCGTCTGCGCGTGAGTGTACGGCCCACGTGCTACTGGGGCGGGCTTCGCGGGAAGGAGAAGATTGCGAAGAAGCACTTCAGTGAGGAGAAAATACCGGCGGGAGAGTGTGAGTCATTTTCTTCTCTGCTTTTCGCTATTTCTCAAGTAATATTAGATAAAACTAGATTTAATCTTTATGGTTTAGATCCGGGTGTAGGCCTTGATGTTGTGTTTCAAAACGCACGCACGCTCACACTCATACACACACACACGTGCACACGCAGCGCACACGTACATGCACCGCACACGCACACGCACACGCAGACGCACACGCACACAGACATGCACACTCACACGCACACAGACACGAACACTCACACGCACACGCATAAATTATCCCCTCCACAAACATCTGCACAATTTATTAAACATTATGATACCATAGTACAATTTTGTATTCGTGGTGTGGTGTTTTTGGTTTATATAGTGATAAACATTTCACTTTTTTCTTCTTTCCTTAAAATCATTAAGTTGTTTTTTTTAGTTGAAAAAGGGGGGGGGGGGGGAGCTATGTATGCTGCCTCTTTATTTCGCTTTACACACAAACACACACACACACACACACACACACACACACACACACACG